GTGGGTCACTCCCACAGGCCCTTGAGCTGGTCCTGTGAGGAATAGAGCCAGGCAACCTTTAGGCTGTGTGGGCAGTGCCTTACCGATCTGGGCTAGGGGAAGAGTTTGTCTTGGTGCTTCATGGACAGTGTTGGAAGGGGTTCAAGACTCAAGATTAATTAGGGCATCTAATGAGACTTTGAAATAATATGTAAATGGCTGCAAAAATGTCTGAATAGTTTATTGCAATTCAAATCAAATAGAAGTGGGAAAAATAAGAATCGTGAGGTTTTATAGATTTGTGTCAGAAAAAATCCTGGCACTGAGCATTGCAAGGGAAGGATTGTGACAAGTTAAAACATCATTTTTCTTTCTTTTTTTCTGCAAAACGTACTTATGCCAGTTTTTTGCAGAATTATTTCACATGGAGCCAGAAATCGTTTGAAACAGGAGTGGTCTCTCTGCTGGGTGGTTTTCATATTCCAAATATACATATGTTGCACAGAGTGTTTAATTATTCTTGGGGACAATTACTGTCAGGTTCCAAAACGTGTTCAATGAACAGCAATTGGTATTTATTCAGCTCTTAAAAGACTATACAAGGGAACAGTGGGTTATATTGTCTGCCTAAAGAAGCATTTTGCCACCCAGAAACATCTGCTTTCTATTTAAAGCACTGAAGAAGGAATGGGAGTATATTTTAGACTCACTCCCTGAACATTGACCGTCAAAGAAAGGAGACAAAATTGGATATGAAGGTAGCTTCTGTTCTCTGGTGTGCACGCTCTTCCGCTCCTCCCTGCTGAGAAGGAGATGGCTGGAAAGTTCTGATTCTGTTGACTCTTTCTATTTATACCGATTTGCACACTTAGAGAAGCTGACTTCTGTGTCCTAATTCCAGCTCTTTTGCTTTCTCAGGGAGGCAAAATGCTCTTTCCAAGTTGGGGTCTTAGGCAGGTAGAGTGACTCAAGTGGTAGAGCACCTGCCTAGCAAAGGCGAGGCCCTGAGTTCAAAAGTCCAAACCCCAGTACCACACCAAAAAAAAAAAAAGATACTCAACATTGGATCTTTTTCTCTTAAATTTTGTGGTGAGTTTGTAAACTTCTCTGACTTTTGCCCTTAAAGATCTCAAGATTTGATATCCAGGTTGTCTGAAATCATCTTGTGACCCTCAGTGATCTGTGTGGATAATGCTGACCACTAAAAGCCCTGTTGGGAGGGTTAAATGAGAGTACATGCAGTCTCCTTGGAATCTATTGCTATGTAGAAAACTGCCACAAACTTAGTAGCTAAAAACCAAACCTGTTGCTGTTGGTCAAGAATCTGGTAAGGCTCCCCTGGCCATTACCTTCTACTTCAGGGTCTCTTCCAAGGCTGTAGTCAAGGTATTACCAGGGCTGACGTTTCATCTGAAGGCTCAGTTGTAGAAAGATCTGCTTCGGGCTCAAATGGTTGTTGGCAGAATTCAAGTTCCTTCAAGGATATTGGACTAAGGACCTTAGTTCTTCTCTGTTTGTTGGCTAGAGCCCTTTCTCAATTCCCTGCCAAGTGGGTCTTGACAACATGCAGCTTGTTTCAACAAACCCAGCAAAAATTGAGAGAGGTTGTTAGGAAGATAGAAGTCACAATCGTATATAACCCAGTCACACAAGTGACAACCCATCACCTTTGCCATATTCTGTTGGCTGAAAGCAAGTCACAGTTCCCACCCACAGTCAAGGGGAGGAGGTTACATTAGGAGCCACATCAGAAGGTGTATACCACAAACAGCCATTATTTTAGGACGAGAGCGTACCATAATGGTCAAGAGAGAGGCTTTCCATACCATTTTGAGGTGACTTCAATCTCAGGTCTCCCTGAGGTCTCTGTGTGACCTAAGCAGGTTACCTGGCTTCTCTGAGCCCATTTCCCCATCTGTGCAGCATCTTCCCTGTAGAGTTGTGATCCTAAATGAGAGATCACATGTGAAACTTTGCGGAATGGTATGCTCTCAGTAAACGTCAGCTCCTGGCTGTTCTTTTTATCCTTGCCTTTTTGCCTTCTCTTGAAATAACATTAGACTTTTTGAATTTCAGAAGCATAGCATAAGACTCCCCAGTGCCTTCAGATTGGGTTATTCATGTGGAATTCCCAGTGCTGTGGGTGGTTCCTAGGCACAGTGCTGCTGCCAGACTGGCTGTGCGGGTCCTTCCCTGTTTGTCCAGGGCCTCTAGACTAAAGAATGTAGTCTTTGGTCTCAGGAAGACATGACTTCCTGCCACAGTGACCACCCTCAAAAGGAGGCTGGTGGCTATCCCTACAGGCCCCCTCCTGGCTCTCTGCATGGAGCAGACACTTCCCCTGCAGCAGGCCTGGCTATCATGACCAAGGGTTTGTCCAGCTGAACCCTCCACATCTCCCCACATTGAGGGTGACCTGAGATGAATTCAGTCCATCTCCTGAGCTGAGAGGGGCCAGCTCCTGTGCAGATGGAGCCCTCTGCTCTGCATGTCCACCTTGACCTAAATCATTCCAAGTTATGCCTAGTCAGAAAGCTCTGCCATCATCTCTTGTCTTCCTGTTGCTCTCCCTCCCTCTCTCTCCTCTTTGCTTTCCTCACTTCCTCAGGTGTCAAGCACACAGTACTTGCACAAGGTTCCTGCTTGGCCACTGGAAGCTGCCCTGCCTCCCTGCCCATCTCCCTGACCAGAGCATCCCTGCCTCCCTTCATCCCCTCTCCATCCTTTGCATTCAAAGAACCCATTCTTGTTCTCATTGTTGCCCCCTGGAGCTGTGGGAGACCTTTTAGGGGTCATGTTGTCTCACTGATAGTTGTCCGCTGTGTCATTTTGGAGGAGAGCTATAGGGTTCATTTCCTCCATTTTTTCTAGATAATCTGATTATGTCTACTGTGAGACTCCCCCCAGCTTCCTTGACAATGGCAATCACCTTAAGCTCTTATTAGAAGTAGATCTCCCCAGGTCCCTTCCCTGGAGTGCCAGGTTCCAGGGATGCTAGAATGGAGCCTGGGAACTTGCATTTTAGTAAGTATGCAGCTAATTTCTGTCATGGAGGCTTAGGAAACTGGCCTATGTGTTCTAAAACCCAGTCCCAGTCCCTCTCTTTGGTGTGCAACACGAAAAGTGAAAGCCTGGGCCCCCTCCCCAACAAGGGCACCTCTCTGACCCTTGGGCCCATGTTCAGTGCAGTGGGAGAGCAAGGCAAAGATTTCAGTGCAGTTTTGTTTTGCAGAAATTTGTCTCTAGTGACTACATTTTAGTTGCTCCTTCCTCTCACATATGCTAGAGTATTGTGTGAGGAAGTGTTTTTCTTTACAGTGTGGTACTTAGATGATTAGAAAAATATGGGGCTGGGTTGACAGTGGCACAGCTGGGCCACCCAAACGTCAGACCTCCCCACGTGGACTTGACTGTGAGGGTCAGATTTGTGTGCACATGTTCTCTACAGCCTGGCCTCTTGACAACAGATGTGAGACTATCCCTTTTGTTCCTGCAGCTGTCACCTAGAGCCTGGAATGATGTTAGTGTGGGATCGAGTGGGTGGCGAGCTTGGTCATTATTGAGGGAAAGATCTAGCAATCCACACCCCAGCATCACTTGTTCTGCTCCCTGAGACCTAGAAGGGAAGTTTAAGGAAGCAAGCAATGCTTGTCACTGGCTGTTCTTCTGGAACACTGGCCTCTGGAAGCAGCTGTGTTGAGTAACATTAAAGCCTCCCCTTTAAGCAGTAGTTGTGAAGGGTTCTGCGTTTTTCTAAAACCATGCTGATATCCATGGTATTACTCAATATCCCTTTGTGGCTCAAAGGGTAAATTGCTTTTCTAGGAAAAAGTTTACCCTTACAAGCTCTCTTTACAGTCAGGTTGGGCTCAAATACAGCTGTGCCTAAAACCAGTCCATTTAGAGAACAGAACACTTAAAGTTCACGCTCCCTTTTGACTTTTTGTGTCCACTTGGGTGCCTGATTCTTCCATGTTATCTCTTTTGACATTGTAAGGATTTTAAAAGTTAATTTGATTAAACTAAAATTAAGCCTTTTGATTTAATTTTGTATGTCTAATAAGTACTTACATTCTGTAGGATTTTATGAATTTATTTTTACATGCTGGTGGCTTTTTTTCCAATTTTGTCTTACTTTGAACACTTAAAAGGATTTTTGATTAAGTTTGCCAATAGAGCTTTGAAAAACAAGTGTATTTTGTAATGAGTCTAAACCTTATTGTGTTACTTTAAAATATAACCGTGCAGTAAATTCAATTATGTTTTTATTCACCTGCTTTATTTATTACTGCCTATTGTTGGGATCTAATTAATTCTCCACTAAACAGAAAGAAACACAGATAATGTGCTAATTTGGCTAAGCAGTCACATGAGGAGTTTCCAGGCAAGTGGAGTGAAAAGAGGCAGCAACAGCAGTACAGAGAGGTGGATTCAATGAATCTACATAAACTCAGAAGGCTCTACATGGAAGGAACACATGGACATTTAAGGCTTGGTCAAGTTGCAAAATCCAAATGGTTCCAAAGGATATAAAGTAACTCCATCATTCAAGAAATGCTACAAATTTGAGAAGTACTTAATAGAAATGTAATACCAACCTTCAAATGGGTTGCAAAATCCTAAAATTGTTGCAGAATCCTCCAAGATAAATTTATTTTTAAAAATATCTTAAAAATGGATTGACTCCAAAGTCTCAGACATGCCAACGGATGTCAGAAAGAGAGGACACTTGACCATGAAGCAGAAACTCTCACAAGGAGTTGCATTTTAAGCAAATTGCTCATTAGGCCAATCCCCCTGCAGCCTCAGGGGGAGGTAACAGCTAAAGCGTGTGGGTTGTAGAAACTACTCACTGTCGGCTCTTTTCTCTTCTCTTCCGTCTTATTTTAATTGTCCTCATGCATATGTATCTTTCCTGATAAGCTATTTAAAATCTTTTGGGGCAGTAGGTAGCCCAGAAGTCATAAATTAAACATGAAGTCATGTTCTATCAACTCACACGCCTGTCTCTCCTGTTGCAGAGAACAGCCGATCTTCACCACTCGCGCGCATGTCTTCCAGATTGACCCCAGCACCAAGAAGAACTGGGTGCCTGCAAGCAAGCAGGCAGTCACTGTTTCCTACTTCTACGATGTCACCAGGAACAGCTATCGGATCATCAGTGTGGATGGAGCCAAGGTACTGCCCCACTAGCTGGTTTGACCGTTCTTCCTTATTTTTCTCCAAAGCCATACAACACACTTGAAAAGTGAAGAGAAAGAGATGTGCCCCAAATCCTGCCTTCTTAACACAGAACTTATCATCCTAATGTCTGTATAATCGTGTGTCCTGCTCGTTTTTTCCACTTGAAATTACGAGAATGAGTAAAGACAGCTCTCCCTGTTACCACACTGTCTTCATAACTAATGTTTTAAAGCCTGTATAATGATTGCACCACGGGCCTGTAATGCTTATTTTCTCCACTGTGCTTGGATATGTAAGTGGCTTTCAATTTCGTGCTACTGTAGATAATGGGCATTTTCATGTACCAAATACCTTGGATGCTCTCATACACCTATTGCCTTCTTTGAATATCTCCATAGGTTAGATTCTTAAGAAATACTTACTATTCCGGGTCATGATATTAACACTCGCTGGCCTTGGACATATGTTGCCAAACTTCTTCACAGAAGGGTTCTTTGTTCCCATTGCTTGTGAAACGCCAGTTCATAGCACCCGTGCCAAAATTTGGGTATATCCTCAGCTGGTTCTTGTGTGACATGGGAGTCACAGTTTGTTGAATGGTTTTGGAGTATTTCTTGAAATACTTTTTCCCCACCTGGTAGTTTTGTTATTCTGCTTTCCCCATGTTTTTGCTACATAATTATGGGAGCAGAATGAAGGAATGCCAGCAGAGATTCTACCAAATCTCTATTTTAAAAAAGGAACCTCTTCTTTATAAGTGTCTTCCTGTCCTTGGACTGTATTCATCACGCTAGACATTTTCATGTGCTGTTACCAGAAATCCATTGTGTCTGAAGCTGAAATCCCTATTTCTAAACAACCTCTCCCTTTTCATTTCCCAGCAATTTGGCATAAAAAACAAATGGATCACCCCCTTTTAAGTTTGTAAAATGAATCTACCTTTGAAGTGTCTCACATGTATGTCTTCTGTTTTAAGACTATAACTCTTGTTTTGCCACAGTCTTTTTTGTGTGTGTGTGTCAGTACTGGATTTGAATGCAGGGCCTCATGCTTGCTAGGCAGGAGTTCTACAACTTGAGCATGCGCCCAACTGTTTTTGATTTAGTTATTTTTTATTAGGGTCTTACATTTATGTCCATTTCAGCCTGGACCAGAATTTTCCTATTTATATTTCCTGCATAAATAGGATGACAGACATGTGCCACCACCAAACCCTAGCTTTTATTGTTTGAATTGGGGTCTCTCAAACTTTTTGCCTATGTTGGCCTCAAACCACAATCCTCTGATCACTACCCCTCAGGTAGCTAGGATTACAGTGTGGACCACCATGCCCAGCTCTGGCACAGTGTTGCTAGGACCATGCAGCAGGCTTCTGGATGGCTTCCTCATCTCCTCACTGCAGTCTGTCCTGATCTTTGCTTCTAGGTCAGTTTTCCTAGGCCATAGAATGTAGGAGAGCTGGATGCTAAACAGTAGAATGGGGCCCATGTGTCAGCTTCTCCCCCATCCCACTGGCAAAAAGCATAAGGAAGTTTCCATTAGTAAGTAGATCCCCTGGGTAAGTCACAAGAGCTTGCTAGTGCACTTGATCTGACAAAGCTCCTTGTTTTAAGGCAAACTGTTCCTCAGCTCATGGTCTGTAAGTGCTTCAGCACCATAGTGACTGCAGATGAAGGCAGCTTGGCCCTGTGATCCTTTCCTTTCTCAAGAAGGCAGCCCAGAAGTTCTCATTTTATAGCTGTGACCTAGGGAGAGGAGGTGACCTGGCTGACTTCACACTGGTGCCCAGTTGCTGGACACAGATCCCAGCTTGCTGGGTTGTAGTAGGCCTCCCTGGCTGGGAGAGGAACATTTCCAACATGTCAGGTAGGTGGTGTGTGAGCCCCTTCCACCTCAGAGGGCAGCAGCTGGTCTGGTGAACATAAGAGACAGAAGTGTTTCCCATCTAAGTGGTAGACATGCAGTGCTTGGGCGGGGGAGGGGGTCTGTGTAGTGAGAAGAATGAAACCTGGTACAGGAGGCAGGAGTCTCATTTTTGATGAGTGAATACCTAAAAGGTACCTGGATTTTTTAACTTTATTTTTTTACTTCTGGGAGACACCGTGATGCTGTGGCTGTAATTACCACTTCTGTCTGTGCTTCTGAACTGGAATTGCCTGGACTCTTTCCAGGATGTTCTGATAGGGAGGGGAAGCAAGCTGACCTGCTTTCTTTCATCTGTGGATTCTGTCAGTTCATCTGCCGTCCTCAGATGGGTTTGTACTTTTGTCAGTTGAGTTATCCAAGGATATATTGGGCTTAACTATAGATAAAACAACTTTCTAAGAGCAAATGCTTCAGTCCTATTAGCTAAGCATTTAGTGATTTGTCAAAAGTGTCAGCCACTGTATCCTTATGGCTCTGCAGTTCCTGAAGCTGTGACAGTGTGGAGCCCAAGCCAGCTGAGATGTCTGTGAGAAATCGGGAGAGTGTAGGAGGTGGGTAACACCTTAGCTGCAGAGTAGAGTTAATTCAGGCCCAGTGGGGTGATTCATCAAGCTAGAGAGTCACTGAAAAGTGGGAATTGGAAGCCTAGGCCTTGGGAACCACTGAGATTCAGAGATGGAGCCAGAGGATCTCAGGGCCACCCACCCCACATGGCGCCTGACTGCCTGGTCCTTGGAGTCTACCCAGAGCTCCAGCTTTACCACTACAGCACCAGACAACTGTGATGGAGCCTCATTCTGCAAAAAGGAGCATAAGGCCCTGGAGAGGGGAAGGTAGGGATAGACCTAATCATTTAATTACTATCACTTGAGAGTTGGGGCTGGAGCATGTTTCTTGCCTGGAGAGCTAGAACACAGAGCAGTGGATGTAGTCTAACACTACTCAGCCCTGCTGTGTTGGCTCTTGACCTGGTGAGCAGCAAGTAAGATTGACAGCTCACATCTAGACCAGATCCTATACCTCCAACTCCTCCATAGGTGGTGGGGTGTGGAGAAATGACCCCAGAGCAGTAGCTGCTATTGCCACTCCCTGATGTCACCTAGCTTGTCCCCTCTTATCCAGCTCCCAGTTTGTCTGCATAGTCTGGATGTCCCATCTTCCTTCCTATAGGTTGGAACAGGGAGCAGTACGCTGAGCAGACTGTGCACTGCACTGCACTAGACACCTGCACTGACACCAGGGCCTTTCCTTATAGGCCCTTGCTTATTGTCTCTGCCCACCACTCTGTTCAGGCAGCATGGTTGTTCTTCTGCCCTGATTCCTGAGCATCCACTCTGGTTTCATGTTCACTGGCTTCCCAAGCCTGGGGCCCTGCCCAGCTGCACCTCTAGGTCTTAGTGAGGTATCTGGAGAATGCTGTCATGAGCTGACCACTCCAGCATGGATGCACCTGGGCTGGGGGAGTATCCCACCCCATCAGGACAATGCCACTATATTTTAGGCCTTTGGTTCCAGTGTTGATCTGAACTGAGATGACAGTTTAGCTATGGGGCCATGTCTTAGTCCATGGGTTTCTCCTCTCTGACCTTGGTCCTGGACCCTGTCAAAACTATGACCTTAAGCTCTTGCTCATGCTGGCCCTTCTGGGCCAACTGTCCTAGGCACATGGCTACTGCTGGCTGGAAGAGGAAACTTGCTGTGCCCCTCCTAGATGGAGTAAGTGTGCTTCTGTAACAAGTTACTGGTATAGAAGGGGCTTGGAGGTCGTTTTGAGCAAAGGCCACAACAGATGCAGCTGCTGTGTAAACTCTGAACAACCCCCAAAGAGTGTAGAAACTTGGGAGGGGAGGAGTTGCAGCCAGCAACTTTAGCAGCTGTCACTCCACACAGGCACAGCACGCTCTTCTTCCTTGTCCAAGCATTTGTCATGCTCTACTTGGGGAAGGATGTATGGAAGGTCCATCCTACTGCTGAGAGCAGTTGGTACTGGTCATCTTAGGAAGGCTGTGTATTCAGATCCACTCTTTATTCTTCGTGGAACACTGAGGCATGTGGTAGTTTCAGCTGTTACCGAAAGACAGGGCCAGGTTTGGAATACTGCTGTGTTGCCTCAGCATTGCCACAGCCCTAGGGAACCATGTGGATCCATGTCTGTGTGTGGGGCTGCCAGGAGACTGTGAGCTCTTTGAGGATGCAGCTTATCATTGAATTCCCAGCGCCAAGCCAGAGCGGGCAACACTATAGAAGTGGGTTAGAGGATGAGCTGGTGATGAGGTCAGGTCTGGCCATCTCCTCTCCTGGCCTATAGCAGGTGTACCTTGTGCACAGAAGGACAGTGGAAATAGGCACCCAAGGTTCTCCCTGTTCATGGAGAGTGGACAGATGGGAGCCACACAAAGGCAGCTCCCAACTCCTGGCTTCTGAGAGTCTGCTGTGAACCATGCAGCCATGTAATTTATGGTAAATTTTGGGGCAGAACAGCCAACTCCACTATAAAGAAACTCCATTTTGAGAACATGTTAATTGAGCCATTGTGGCACTTGGTCTCATTGTGCTGTTAGCACTCCCTGTAGATCCCTATGAGAAATTGCCTGCGCCTGTGGGCAAGACTTGCCTGAAGCAGGTGCCTCTCCCAGGTGCTCTGGATGACTTTGCTGCCCTTGCTTCTGAGTTATTTATAGGATCACAGAAGACCCACATTGGAAGAGACCTTAGTGGTCATCTGTTCTACAAGTATTTATCAGTGTGTGCTGTGTCTGTCACGATAATCATGATGCTTCAGAGGATAGAAACTTCCAAACCCCAACTTAGTTGGTCATTTTCTTTTGGGAATATAAGATTGATTTCAAGAACACAGTCAGGGTCCCTGCTCCCAACCCTCATTGTAGTTTCTTCTCTTTTTTCCTTTTATTTATTTATTAGCATATTATAGTTGTACTGGGTACATTGTAGTCTCTTCTTTTGAATGCGTATAGAGCCCCTTCTGTTAAGGGAGAGAGCATCTGGAAGGTTCCCCCACACAGTAGGTTTTCAATGAATGTCAGTTTCTTCTCTCTGTGGTTAAAAAA